GTAAGACCTTTCGGAACCAGATGTAGCGAGAATATGAGCTGAGGGACCTCGAGGTCTAGAATTGCCAACTTTGTCCACGATAGTTGAAGTCCCGGTAGTTGGTCTCGGTGCGAAGGAGAGAAAGGTGTCCACGACGCCGGTTGTCTCCTCGACAAATTTGATTAGATCCAAAAATCGTTGCTCTCTGTTAGCACTCATGCACCTAACGGCGTGTTCCGCCCACTTAAACTGAGTATGAGTGGGTAGATGTCTCACAAGGGCACCAATGGTCCGAGAAGCATTTATGTTTGATTCATACTCTAATTGCTTCCAGGCGGTGTAGCAGGTACGAAGCTCCCCAGCTAGTCTCCATGGGGTTGCGAAATCGTTTGGTCTGATCGCGGGGCCATCCATCAGGGCATCGACGTGCGCCCTGGCTAGCATGTGTGGCCTTCCAAACCACTTTCGCAAGATGTTGAGAGCTTCGGTAAATCCCTCCTCAGGATCCATTATTAGACAGCTTTCGATGGCTCTTTTGGCCTCGCCGGAAGAATATTGGACCAGGAAGGAGAGCCTCATTGTTGGATCAGCTGTGGATTTTAGGATATTTGCCTCGAAACAGCGAATGAAGAGCCAGTAGCGGGCAGGATCTCCCTCGAAGGTCACGAAAACTCTTTTCGGGAGGTTGATGAGCGTGTTGCCAAAACTATCACTTCCTCGAAATGCGACCGGTGATCGACTGGTGGTGGCTGATTCGTCCAGGGTTTGGAACTCAAGCATCTGGCAGGCAGCGCTTCCTTGCCGATACTCCATTTTGGACTGGACAGCCGCTTCACAAAACGGTTTCATTGGGTCCGGTTTAAGTGCAATGTCGGGAGCAAATTTCAATTTTGTAGTGTTTGGCATCACGTAACTATTATCCGCGTGGTGCACCAATTGAACCTCACGTGATGTGACGTTTAAATCCGCAGCAATACGCATTGTCGTCAGCTCAAACTCCAGCATTCTGATTCGCTCTTTCGCCTGTTTCAGTTCGGAAATCGCTGTGAAATTATCATCATCAGAAAGTGGGGGTATTGCATTCTAGAGTAGACATAACGTCGTCTAGTCAACTTTGTTACGGGAACGATAACCGATATAACGTACGACGAAGTTCAAATTGCGCTTAAGGACTCTGCGAACAATGCACAGCTAACTGCAGGAAAACAAC